TCTGCTCGTACACTGCAATGCGTGATCCAGGCACTCAGGACTTGTTAGAAGTCCTGGTTTGATTCYGGCTCAACTCCCGAGTGTCCACATACCCGGGCGGTCATGAGCCTAAAATGACTTTAGGAGCCAATAGGAACAAATGAGTGGAGTAGCCCAGATAAGAACACAAGGAGTCATGGGGCCTGGTCAGCTGCCACTCACCCCTGCCCGGCAAGGACCTGGAGGCTGCAGAGCTGTGGGCACTAGCCGAACAGGCCTTTTCCTGCCTCCATAGTGGTCCAGATCACTCACAGCTCCCTGTGTGACGGTGACATAGTGGGACCAGCAGCACTGGCAGCTGCACACAGCATTCTTCAGAAGTCCACCACAATTTTCGGCCTGTAGCATGACACACCTGAGCTAGAGAAACTCAGCACGGGCCACCACAGCAGAGTGGACGCGGCAGCTGGCTTTCCCAGTCACACATGTGGACAAGCAGAAACCTGGTTTTGCTTTTCTCCTTATTTTTTTTTTTGAACACTTGTAGGTATTTCCAAGAGTCCTGGGACGTGTCCGCATGGAGCAGTCAGTAGGGAAAGGAAGAGGCAGAGCTCGTGGTTTGGAAGAGTGTTCCTCAGCTTACCACGAGCGGCAGCACCTGTCTGACCAGCCCCGCACGCCCCGCAGCGGTGCCTCCACAATGTGTAAAGCTTTCCCAAGCCTCAGTTATTCCCACACTCTTCCTTCATGACAGATTCTGAAATATGTTTAGACCCTTGGGTGATTACAATCCATATTTTATGTTCTGCTCCTTTGAACTTCTCATAAAAATCAGAAAAAAATATAGTTTGAAAATATGAGCAATTATTCATTATATGTAAAATCTTTTGACTAATGCATCATGCTCACAGACTAGTTGGGGATGTTGAGTGTCAAATGGCTCACAGGCCATGCTGTTGTAGGCAGATAATGCACAATGCAGACCTAAAATCTGCAGGCACACAGGAAGCTCCCTCTTGCTCTGTTTCCTAAGGAGAGCCCTAGAATCATCTTGAAATCATAAACAACTACAGAACGTTTATGCCCTTTGAAATCATACTGCCAGCAGGATTGCATAAATCTAACCCCAAGGTCAGGAGTAGCATGAGGGAAAGGCCACCAGGTCAGAAGTTACATGTCCAGCCTGAGAGTCATGCACAGGTCACCTCTTGCTCCAGGCAGGGYGCACAGTCAGGAACCACCCCCATGAGCAGGAGGTCAGCAGGGCTGAGCTGGAGTCAGCAGGGTTGTTCTGACCTGTGTGGAAAGGCTCTCTTCTGAGTCTGTGGTCAGTCCAAGGGCAGCAGGGGCCTTCACTGCTCCTGGCTGGCCCTCATGGGTGTCAGGCATCAACCTGCTGGGACACCTGCAGGATGTAGCTCTGTGCTCGAGTCCCCGGGGCCAGCCTGGACCTGTCCCAAGGAGGGCAGAGTCCCCAAGGACCTAGAACTGGAGGTAGCTCACTTCTGTTGCCTTTTGTCATCCAGTCACAAGGTCACCCAGGGTGGGGCACAGGGAGAAGTGGCAAGGTCAARCTTTGGGGGTGCGGGGGAGGGAAGAACTGGCTGTCACAAGGCTGGGGTCCTTGGCTCCTCTGAGTGAGCATGTGGCCCAGGGAGAGTGAAATGAACATACTGCCAAACTAGAATTCAGCATAGCTGGTTTGTGAGGTAAACTGAGGCAGGAAAGTTTACCCAAGAACCTGACACCTTAAGTCTATCCAAGGACCTGGCACCTTATGATCCAAGCTGCCGGTGGATCCCTATTTCCCAAACCAGAAAGCAGCCAGTGGTTCTTAGCTTCAGAGCTGGACTCCTCGCAGCCCTGGGTCACCACATTCCAGGGCCATAGACAGAGACCTGACCCCCCAGAGGTCCCTACCCTGGGATGTCCTCTGCAGCTGAGTTCTGTCAGTAGTCACATTGCTTCTTTTTGTCCCTGCATTTTGAAGGGAGTGGCATCTTGATACGAAGTCCTCTACCACTTGGCTGCATTTTTGAGATTCCCTTAGTGCCAAGAGGCTCTCATCTCTCTTCAATTCCACATGTTTTAAGAACACTCTGGCAGTGGCAGCTGGGCGTCGGCACGGGTGTTTTGTTTCCATCTTGCAGTGCTGGGGTGAGACCAGGCTCTCGAGCAAGCTGGGCAGACATCTACCATTCAGCTCCATCTGCCCCTTTTATTTTATGTTGAGGCAGGGCCTGGCTGAGTTGCCCAGGCTGGTCCTGAGATTGCTATCGTCCTGCCTCAGCTTCCGAGTTGCTGTGATCACAGGCATGGCCACTGCGCCTGGCTGCACCTCCATGGTTGTGTTCTCTATGAGTGTGAGCAGACGTCAGTGCTGAACGGCCCCCACTCGGTGTGCTTCCAGCACTAGCTATTGGGCATCTCCCAGGGAGGCCACTTCTGCTCCTGCTGCTGTCTGCAGGAGTCCCTAGTTCATCTTCTCAGATTCTGAGCCTCCTCCACTAAAGAACATCCTCTTCCCAGGCTCCGGCACCCCTGTCAGTGGCCCTGGTGCTGCTGAGTCACCTCGGTACCTGAGGAGAGGAGGGTTCTGGGCTACCCAGGACTCAAACCTTCCCGAAGTAAAACCAACCAGTGGCAGACAGCCAGGTGCATTTGCAGGTTGTGCCTGCCCAGTGCCACTCAGAACACCAGGGAGCCTGGCAGTAGATACCGTGGATGACATCTGCGAACAAGAAGACAAGGATCTTGTTTTGTTCCCACCGTAGACTGCTTGAGAGGTGCAGGCAAGTCAGCCCGCTGCAGCCTGAGATTGGCTGTAAGGCCACATGCCCTGCAGCCGGAAACCACAGTGCTCAGAAGTGAGCCTCCAGAGAGAGGGTCATCTGCTCCCCAGCCTGTGGCAGGCAGGCCTTCAGTGGGCCGGGTGGCTGGCTCATCTCACAGTCAGGCTGAATCTCACCCAGAGCTGCCTTCCTCTTAAAGCCTACTTGCAGGCTAAAAGCAAGCAAATCCCTCCTGAGCCGGTCTTAATATGTCTCTACCAAATCCCCTGATCACTGGCTGCGGTGTTTCCTGCACGTGCCTTTCCTGTGAGTTCTGGTCAGGAGTCCCTGGTGTCCCTGTATGGAGCCCTGCTGTTTCCCAGGGTGATGAGCCGGTGCCCAGGTGGTGTCCTGGCTCTCCTGGGTGGCCTCTCAGCTCACCTGGTACTAAATCTTTCCCTTTTCCTTTCCTGAGTTAGAAACAGCCTAGATGGGCAATGTGGGTACCCACTGACCCTTAGTAGAAGGCCAATTGTGGTGCAGAATGGCAGAATTTAAAGTCAGCTTTCTTCAGAATTAGAATTTGCTTTGGAATGATGTTATGTTGGTTTGTTTTTTTATGTATATATTTTTATAATCTGTATATCCAGTGGCCTGGATCTTGCAAGACTTTATTCACCAAATAGAAAAAGCTGCATAATCCTAGATTCCGATTAGGCTTGCCTTTAAAAATGTGTGCTTTTAATTTGCAAAATTTCTTTTTCATCATCTTCCAAACCATAGACCTTGAGTTTTATGACTTAAAATGGATTCATTTTAGTTTTAGGCCCTCTACAGATATTAACATTTTAAAACTTAGTTCATGTGGATCAAAGGGAAACCTGACTATAACAGATGGCCCCAAGAAACACCTCCAGTAGAAGAAAGTTAAAAGGAGGTGAATCCTGACCTCAGTCCTTCTGACTGCAAGTCCTGGGCTGATCACCTGGGAACCTGTGTCTTCCTCCAGGAAGGCAACCCTGTGCCAGGCCCTCCTTACCTACAGTACCGTGGGCCAAGGTGGATTTCCTTAAAGGGGAAATAAGCTAAAGCTTCCAGTCATTATGGAATGTGACAATAGGTGGCAGTGCACACCCTTCATATTTGTGCCTCTGTTAAATTGGATGTTTTTGTTTTTGTTTTCTTGTTTCTTTTCTGGGGCCTGTGTTATTTTCACAGAGGCACTTTAAATGCAGCATGTGAGCAATGTCTGTGAGGCATCCCTACCACTGGAATTTTAAAATTCAAAAACAAGTGTCAAACGTCCAATAAGCTCCTCTCCGCCTTTCTCCTGTGGCAATAAAGTTGCCAGAGCAAACTCAGTGTCCTCTGCCCTAACCCTGCTGAGCCGTGCTCCTGGCTCCCTTCCTGCCAGGAGCCCCCCCCCCCCCCGATGCCCCTACATTCACACCAGGCTGGGCTGCTAGAGATGCTGGGAAATCACTTTTTAAAAAATGCTTTGTYACCAACTAGTCCCGGAAGGCGTTCAACTTGAAAAGGAGCTCAGGACAGTCACACCCACAGTGTCCCCAGCTTCTCTTCACACCTCCTGTAGCTCCAGGGCCCGGGTGCCCATGCCGGGCTCTGAAGGGGTCTCTGCTTGGAGACCTGTGTAGGAGGTGGCCTGTGCAGCTTGCTGCCCTGAGACCAGGCCTGGGGACTGAGTCTCTGCAGTTCCCTTRCACTTCTCTAGGGTGAACCTGGGGTTCTCTCTTAGCCATTGACACTGGCTTTTGGCAACTACCATACATAAAGCCTTCCATTAGACCACCCTGTTCTGTTGGGCCAGAAAGACTGTCTTTGAGAGCTCTGCCCTTGGATGCTGGCTAGTAAGTTTCTGCATGGTTCCCAGGACAGCACCCTGAGGACACCAAGGTGGCCTTATTTGGCCAAGGACCCCATTCATCTTGATTGACAAGCCCGTGCACTCAGTGGCTCAGCACATTTGTATCRGGTGCTGGCTCTTCTGGTGTTACTCTGGGTGCTGTAATGTCTGGCCTATAATCATTTTTCACATAACATGAATCTGGTGTAGAATAATGAATAGAATATCAGGAGTCCTCTAGCAAGTGGTCCGTAAGCGGAGGGTAGTATTCGTCAGCCATTTCTCCACATGAGGAATAGGCGAAACCACCTCTGTTGGCAGCTCGGATAGTGCTGTCCCCTGCAGTGACAAACTACTAAGTAGAATCGTGTCCCATTTCTTTCCAGACTCCAGAGTGGGATGAACCTGCAGATTTGCTTTGTCAATGACAGCGGCAGCGATAAGGACAGTGATGCTGACGACAGCAAGACCGAGACCAGCCTGGACACACCCTCGTCCCCCGTGGTAAGCCTGCTCTCCAGGCACATGCGCGTGCTCCCTGTCCCCCTCCCAGCCAAGCATAGGCACCTCCTCGTTCCKCCTCCAGGCCTAGCACATATGTGCCCCCTACCCTTTCTAGCCAGGCGTAGACACTCCCATGTCCCCCTTCCCAGCCAAAGTAGACACCTCCTTACTCCCRTGGTAAGCCTGTGTTCCCAGCCGAGTTTAGACACTCCTTCATCTGCCAGGGTAAGCCCGTGCTCCCAGCCAAGCCTGGACACCCCCATTCTCTGTGGCAAGCTGTTGCTCCTAGCAGAGGTGCCCTTGGGTCTGTGGCTACTTGGCTGCTTTTCTGTCTGGAGTCAGGAGCAAATGTTCAGAGATGGAAAAAAACATCTCTGAGAATCGCATGTTTTTAAAACTGGACAGTAATGGAAAAGGAGAAGTTGAGACACAATCAGGATACGTAAACATTATTAAAGTTAAGGACTACTTTCATATTAGACAATAAGAGAGATCAGATGCGCTGTTAAAACTTTAAAGGGAAAAGATGCTCAGAATCCTTCCTCTTTGGGCTTGGAATGGGACTCTTTACCACGATTGCATAAGTTGGCCCAACAGTGGTGTTCTTGTTGCTGGAAGTTCTTCCGCTCTGGGAGGTCTCTCACCCTCTCTACCAAAGACCAGCGAGTAGGAGGTTGTGCTGGTTGCTGAGTGGTGCGACCTCGGACATCACTGGATACCCAAGTCCTGTTTGCTCAAGGACCCGCACACCACCTTCGCTCTGATAGTGTTTTCCCTGTTATTGATTATACTKATGTATGCCAAAGTCAGAGCCTATTTTAAAATAGACCTTTTCCTTCTACTTGAGACTGACACGGGTCGAAGGGAACGGAGCAGAGCTGGTGGAGAGGGCGCTCAGCCCTGGAGAGGGCTCYGGGAAGGCTGAGCTTTCACCAGTGGGACGTGACTGGCTGGGAAGCTCAGGTTGCTCTTTCTTCCCTCGCAGAGCAAACAGAGCTCTTCCTATTCCGATAGAGACACTACTGAGGAGGAGTCCGAGTCCTTGGACGACATGGACTTCCTCACAAGGCAGAAGAAACTGCAGGCTGAAGCCAAGATGGCCCTTGCCATGGCCAAGCCCATGGCCAAGATGCAAGTGGAGGTGGAGAAGCAGAACAGGAAGAAGTCTCCCGTGGCGGATCTGGTATGCGGCAGTGGTTGGGCTGCAAGTGCGTGTGTGTGCGTGTGTGGGGAGTAGGGGAGCCACAAGAGTTTGGTGCTGCCCCTGTCCTTTCCCCAAGTGATGCAAACTTGGGCTTCTCTGGGGCAGTTCACAAAAGTACTATCACTGAGAAATAATGCAGCTCGTTTCTTCTTTCTATCGATCATTGTGCTGAAAGACACATGCAACAGCTTTCACAAAAGTAAGCTCTTGATTCAGAGCTGCTTGTTAGGGGCGGCCTGAGCCACCCTGGGAGCATGTGGGAAGCAGCCTCAGGACAGGACTGGAGGCTGCAACAGACTCACTCTTGCTTCAGTGGCCACTGTGACTTGGTGCAGCCCTGCCGTGGACCTGCTGTGGGGCTCTGGCGTGAAACAGGGCTAGTAGCTTCAGGGCTGGTAGCTTCTGGGTCAGAGCAAGATAGGACTCTGGTGGTGTCCCAAGCGCAGGGCGTGGGGTAAGCCTCTAAGCAGCAGCTATGTTGATGGTCCTACCCATGTTGGTGTCATTGGTCCCTGGTAATCCTTCATGCTAAAGACCAGGCAGAAGGCTTTCGTGCCCGTGGCCAAGCACTCTGTGTGGGTGGCCCGCAGGGAGTGTGATGGGTGAGGCCCCAAGAAGCTGACAGGATGGTGGGTCTCCTGAGTTGAGATGCGCTCAAGCTACGTGCACCTGTTCACTCCTTGGGTTCTCCCCATCTCCAGCTGCCTCATCTGCCCCATATCAGCGAGTGCTTGATGAAGAGGAGCCTGAAGCCAGCCGACCTGCGCGGCATGACACTGGGCCAGCTGCAGGTGATCGTCAATGACCTCCACTCCCAGATCGAAAGTGAGTGCCGTCACACATGAGCCTGGTGGTCAGCGCCCCTTGTTGGGTTTGGTGCCTTCGAGCCAAGTTTCTTGGGGTGCCTCCTTTGTTCATGGGGAAAGGAAGGGAACCGTCAGGCTCTTGTTTGCATTTGGGGTTCCCAGTTCCCAGCAGGTTATCTTTAAACTCACATCTGCCTCCACACGTGGTGCAGTAGGTGACGTCACTTATCGCACAGTTAGACCTCCTGGTGTAGACATGTGTTTTAGGCATCATCTCAGCCAAATCAAATCAGATTCATTTTGTGGGATTCTAGGCCCTGAAAGTATATATTACCAATGTGTGAAAATTACGGGGTGACCAAGCGTGCGCCCCCGTATTCAGTATTAGAGATGGATTCTGAAGGCTTGACGGTTCAATGGTGCAGCATCTGAAATTGCTTTGAAGGATGCAGAGGAGGGTTCTAGAGAACACMGGGTTGGCAGGAGGCTGCTGAAGCTGGTTGAGTACATTGGGATTCACTGAACTTTTCCCTGCTTTTGTGTTAATTTTAAGTTTTCCATAATAAAAGCTTAAATCTTGTATTAGGAAAAAAAGTTCTGTGCCCCAGAGGTTTGAATACATAGGCACTTGGCTAAGTGACTGTAGAAAAAGCCACCCAGGAGCACACTGGAAAAAAAAAATAAAATGGTTTTCACCAGGCCCACATACTAAATAACACGTTTAGCACCAAGTTAAAACAGTCCCRATGGTTTTCAAGTCAAAAGACAAGATCTAAGATTTTGACGAAGAAACCATAGATTCCCAGGATTACAAAACCATGCTCCATTTTAATGTCGGTTGAGGATTAATTACTAGGAGTGTTATTCTTTCAAGAACTGAAGGGGGATTTCTGAGATTTTTATCATGAATCATCTTCCTGAGATTTGTAAATAAGATTACCATCCCGTCCTTTTCAGGAAGTGAAATTTTAGACCTGTTTGTGTGATTCATTCCCATTGTTTTAAATTGGAAGCTCCCTGAGCTAAGGGCAGGCAGCACCCACTGGGAGCAGGGCTCTGAGAGCACTTCCGGGYCCTGTCTGAACACCTCCAGGGGCTGTAGCCTACCTGGAGCTCAACAAGTGCCCTCCCACGCCTGGGCTGACAGCCTTTGTTCCTGGCTTCTCTGGGGGGACAAGCCAGAGAGAGCCCGCGCTTGTTGGAGTTTGTCAGAAGCAGGAGCCACACTGGCCCAGGGCATGGCGTCGGGTAGGTCACTAGTGACTCTCTACCTACTCATGTTGTCACCCAGTGTTTAGTCTGAGGCATGTCTTCCCTGTTGTCCAGAGATTTCAGGGATTATTTCTTCAGGCCTTACACACCCAGCTATCCCTAAAACCTGACCCACCGCTGTCTTCCTAGACTAGGCTGCACCAGGGCTGTACAGGAAGGCTCTGCACCTCTGTCACGCCTGCCACCTCTGGCTGGGTGTCTGATGCAGCTGTCAGGTGCCCAGGGGCCCCTCTGACTCTCAGTGCAGCAGGAGCATCCTGAAGGTGAAGGTGGAAACTTAATATGTTCCAGATGCATCGTTCACATTTATTCCAAACAGAATCCCACCTTCCCTAACAACTTATGCTTTTTTAAAAAAATATTTTTATTAGTTACTGAGGGACCTTTATTTATTTATTTGCTTATATGTGGTACTGAGAATGGAACCCAGTGCCTCACACATGCTAGGCAAGCACTGTTCCACTGAGCCACAACCCCAGCCCACCCTAACAACTTATTTTTGTAACAATTTCTTTAACCACTGAGCCACATCCCAGCCCTTTCTATTTTTTTTTTTATTTTGCAACAGGGTCTCACTGAGTTGCTTAGGGCCTCACTAAGTTGCTGAGGCTGGCCTTAAATTTGCAATCCTCTCCTACCTTAGCCTCCTGAGCCRCTGGGATTATAGGCGTGTACCACCATGCCTGGCTATAATTTCTTCTTCCACTGTGATATGAATGTAATTGAAAATATAGATTGAGACCAGGCATAGTGATGCACGCCTGTAATCCCAGCAGCTTGGGAGACTGAGGCAAGAGRATCACAAGTTCAAAGCCAGCCTTAGCAATGGCAAGGTGCTAAGCAATTCAATGAGATCCTGTTTCTAAATAAAATACAAAATAGGGCTGGGGATGGAGCTCAGTAGCTGAGTGTCCCTGAGTTCAATCCCTGGTACCCCCCMAAAAAAATATGTAGAGAGAGATTGAGTATCTCTGTATCTGAAATCCACAGTGCTCCAAATTGCTCAAAATCTTTAGATTTTGGAGCAATTTCAGTTTGAAAATTTTCAAATTAGGGCTATTCCACCAGTAAAATCTATGCAGATATTCCAAAATGCAAAAAAAAAAAAAAAAAACCCTAAAATCTGAAGCTTTTCTGGTCCCGAGCAATGGACAGGGAGACTCCAGCTCTCCTCCTGGCTCCATTCCTTTCCTTTAGCACCTCACAGCTTGGGGACAGGTCACATGCCCTCTTGATGACTGCTCCCTGGCTTAGGGGAAGTCAGCACGAGAATGTGCATCTCTGCGGTGACTGCCRTGATGTCTGGCTGTGTGTGTGTTCGTGGGTCACATGTGCTCGGTGGCCGCAGACAGCACATGTTCTGACCCRGATGCAGCTGGACCCGTTTCTAATTGTCCTTTCTTTGTCCCAGGCTTGAACGAAGAGCTGGTGCAGCTGCTCCTCATCCGAGACGAGCTGCACACAGAGCAAGATGCCATGTTGGTGGACATCGAGGACCTGACCAGGTCAGTATGGCCACCCTCTCCACAGGCAGGAAGAAGCCCCTGTGCGGTCAGAGCATGCCCTGGGGAAGGTCACCCCCTGCTTCCATGCACACAGTTCCTGTGCAACCCTAGCAAATATCTTAGCAGTGTCCTCCTCCCGTGATGGAGTGTCTGTGCGTTCTGACTTCTCACGACTTCTCTTGAACCCTGGGAACAGCTCTAGCCCAGGAGGACCTTATGCTGGAAGACTGTCCCCTAGTACTGGCTCTCAGCCATTCCATGCTGGTGTGTTTCCAGCACATGAGCAGCTGGGTGGTCAGCGCGCCCCTGCCATGCCCAGGAGGCAGGGACACTCTGGCCTCTGTCCACAGCCCTGTGCCCCAGATTCTTCTCACATGGGAAGCTCTAGGACTTGAGTTCCTAGCTCCTCCTGCCGCTCTGTGAAAAGGTGAAGAATGCATCCCTCCTGGGGGATGAGGAAGCCAGCCTCTGTGGTCAGCCTCTTCCATTTCCTAGTAGTTTCTCTTATAGAAACCCTGCCATGCATATGCGTCCCTCATCAAACACGAGCAGTATAGGTTACATGTATGAGGGACATGAACTGCATATAAGTTCCCGTGACTTCATGTTTACCATTCACCTGTCCTGAGACGGTGCGCATGAAGTCTCTAAGCCAGGAGACAATAATTGCTGTTGATTCCAGAAACGTGGCGCAGAGAGTAGAGGCCCCAAGAAAGATCACTACTCGTCTCACAGCACAGGGGATTGACCGTGGGCCCAGAAACCTCCCACAGATGCTCTTGGCATCTCCCGCAGGAATATGTCTTAGCCCAAAACATGGGGTTCAATAGTCCTCTACCAGTGTGTGCCGTTGAAAGAGTTTTGGTAGCAGAATGGATGCTGTAGAGCTAATGCAGGCCCTTTTTTWAAAAAAAATCCTATAGTCTTCTCATGTTCTATAAGCATGTCTGCCAGCATCAGGAATTTACAGTGACACTCAGATGACATGATTGCCACCTGCAGACACATCCAGACACTGTGAACAGCAGCTGTACACCAGACCCCTCTGGTTAACCTGAGAGCTCACATTTAGATATGGAGATCATGGGAAGCCAGTGAAATACATGACCAGGACCTRCGTTCTCTGACACTCCACAACCCTCTGTGCTCTCTGGTTCGCTGAGATGCAGACCTCTCCTGTGCCCTTCTCATGGCCCCATTCACACGAAGGGGCAATGCAGGGCTCCTCCTGCCTCTCAGGGTCTGGCTCATACTCAGGTGGCAGTGTACCTCCTGACACCTCTAAGCGGGGTGGTCCTGGACATGCAGGCAGAGCCACGGGGTAGAAACAGAGGCATCACTGCCTTGTAGGTTGGGAAGTCCTGCAGGAGGCTGGGGTATGGCACCCCCACAGCTTTCCACTATAGGGAGCCCAGAGGATCTTTCACACGCCAACAGTAGCAGCCTCAGAGCCCCACAGCCTCAGAAGGCCAGGAGCTTGGCTATGGGGTGACAGGCTCACCTCTCCCTCGGCTGTTCCCCACCAGCCATCTTAGATTCAGTCCAAGCCAGTGGGCATCACATCCGGCTGCACATTGGAACCACCTAGGAGCTTTGCAAAACTGATTGCAGGGTCCCACCCCAGGGGCTCTGGCTCAGCTGCCCCTGGGGGCCTGGACACAGRGTCTTACTAAGCTGTCTTATGGGGCCTGGGCTTCAGAAATTCTAAGCTCCAAGTGACACTGGCACTCCCCTGGTGCTAGCCTCTTTAAAGAACCCTCCCTGATCCAAGGCAGACTTGATTTTCAACTGTGGCCCTCCCTTAGCATGACTACTCAGTGCCTGAGGACCTCTGACACCTCCTTTTAGATTGTGTGACAGTTCTCACCTCGGAGGCTGTAATATTTTCTGACGCCAGTTACTGCCTGTTTTCCTTCTTAGAAAATCCGTCGGTGTATCAGTGTATGTCTGTGTGCACACACACACACACACACACAGCTCACTGGGCATTAGTGTATTTCCTTCCCTGACTTTGCTTGAGCACAGGCATTAGGTACTTTGAGAAAGTGACCATTGTTCTTTCTTGCACATACCCAGGGCTGTGGCAGGTCTACTAATTGGTGATGTTTCTAAAGAGTGGAGAGTGAACAGCGTCCTTCCCTGAGATCCTTTACTCTTAGATGGACATAACCATTTATTGTGGGCTGCTGCATGTGGGAATGCCGTGGTCACTTCCTTATTTTTGAAAGTATTTGCAGTTTGTCTTCCCTGCACCAGAGGCCCTCAATGTTCTGCGTTAAGCCTGGGAGTTAGGCTTCAYGTTGCCAGCTCCCTGGGTGCAGGCAGCACACAGAGCCTGCCCCTAAACACTATTACAGCTGCAAACCACAGCCTGAGACATTTTTTTTAAATCTCTTGCTAACTTATCATTTTCTATATTCATCATTCAGAACCACTGTCTTCAGCCCACAAAGCCCCATGCTGTGGGAGTGCCCATCCTGCAGGCCACCCTTTGTCCCTGCTGTCCAGCTGCTGGATCAGCTTAGTCTGGGCTCACGGTGCAGCAGAGCTTGGTGAATAAGAAGACTCACCCCACCCCACTGCCATGACGGTGCCCTGGGCCTAGCCAAGGAGAACTCATGCACATAGGGAGGCACTAACTCCCACAGGGACATTGTGGGACATTGGCTATGCCAGAGGGAATTAGGTCCTTGGCATGGGTTCTGGGTCTGGGAGTGCGTGTGTGTGTGTGTGTGTGTGTGTGTGTGTGTGTGTGGTCACAGCACGGTGACTTTTTGCTTAACACTTATTTTCTATCTGCCTTTCTCTTATTTGCTATTCTTCCTTTCTTGTGTCTTCCCTGTAACATATTCCCATGAGAACAGAGACCCCCATTCCTGCTCTGCAGGAAATCCCAGCTTCAGGTGCCCTGCCCGATATATCAAAGGCCCTTTTTAAATGTTTGTTACTAAAGGTACACACTAAAGGAAATACACTAATGCCCAATGAGCTAAGCCTGCCCTGTAGCTAATTAAACCACAGTTCCTAGAGCAGGGCTGGAACCTACACCCATACACGTGTGTGTGCACGCGCRCACGCACAYACGCGCACACCACCATACACCAATACACGACAGGTTTTCTAAGAAGGAAAACAGGCAGTAACTGGCGACAGAAAATATTACAGCCTCCAAGGTGAGAACTGTCACCCAATCTAAAATCATACTTCCCTCTCTTCATTTTTAAACACAGCACTTTTGTTTTCAAGGGTAGACCCATCAGTCCATCTCAGGTTAATCGCCAGCTTCCTAAATGAAAGGAATCAAAGAGCTCAGGTCTGTTGGAATAAAGCACGTTTCCTTGATTCGCACATCTCATTTTGAGCAACTCTGGAGCTCAGTTCCAAGGAGGTCACAGTGTTGCTTGGAAGGCAGTCTGGTATTTCTTGTTAAACAGTCGTGTTGTTCGTTTCACAGACATGCTGAGAGTCAGCAGAAGCACATGGCAGAGAAGATGCCTGCCAAGTGAGAGCCACCCGCCACAGCCCGGCGGAGCTGACTTTGCCTCTGTGGTTTGCAGTGCTGTTGCTGAAGGTGTCGCAGAGATAGACCAACAGCCTTGTCATTCATGGATGGTGTCTGAAGCTTCATGTCCAGTGATCGGCCTTTGCTTCTTAATTTATTTTAATTTTTTACTTGTGCCACTTAATATCAGGCATTTTAATAAAATGTTGTTACAAAAAAAAATTGTACAGTACTTACACCATCACAAACCATGGGTGATCCGAGGGTGGTTTTAACTTTATTTTTACTTGTTTAGAGGTTTTCGGTTGGAGCGGTATTTTGCATTGACTACTTCATCCTTCGCTGTAGTTTTAAGAACTGTAAATGACGGTGCTATACAAGTCAAAATACATGCCTGCCTCCTAGTGAAGTCGTAGCTCTCCTTAACGTGTATCTTAATCAGTTCTCAACATTTTGTGAATGTTGACTACCTGAAGTTCATTTTCAGATGTGCTATTAACATTCTGTTGGCTTCAGAAGGTTTCTTGGAAGTTTTATGTATAAATATGTAAAATAAAATTAAAACTTTGTTTCATATGATATGTCTTCTTGCTCACTAACAATAGCCGGCTTGTCTCTCTCTCTTCTCCCCTTCACAACTGCACACCTTACCTAGGAGCCACAGTCCGTGAAAGCCAGTTGCTTTCAGCTTGCAAGGTGGGCTGATCAGGTCACAGCTCTCGCAATCCAATCGTTTCACCTCTGAATATTCCAGCATTAATACGGGAGCTTTGGGGGGACCCCTCATGCCTCCATCWTGTTCCTTGTGATGGTTTGAATGTGAGGCTGAATTCAAAGGTAGACTACTTAATCTGGTGGAGGAAATTTTAAGACAGTCCGTCATTGAGTCAGTGCCATGGACATTGATGGTAGGGTTTACCCAGGTTTACTTTGAGAATTGGGAGCAGAAAGCAGAGCTGAAGGATTTTTAAAACTTGGGGTTTGACTGGAAAAGTACATGTAAAACTGGGATAAAGGAAGATGTGGTTGTTAAAAAGATTCCAGCCAATAAAGAGATGCTACGTACTTTGTACAAAGATACCAGGAATGATTCCTTGACGGCATCTCAGGAGACCACACTCACTACAGACTCAAAGATGTAGAAGGGGAAATTCCTTTGAGAGGAGACCACTGTGGAGGCACCCTGCTCACACATGGGCCACAGGAAGCTGTTGCATTGTGCTCAATCACCCAGGCACTCAGAGGCTGCTGCAGCTGTGATCCCAGGAGGCTTACCTACTGCAGGAGCTGATGGCAGACCTTGGCATCATCCATGTGGGGCTGTTCTGCAGGAATGCAGGATTCTGGAGTTAAGGGATCAGGAGGGGGCAATTCCACGGAGATTTCAGTGGGAAACCAGGCAAGGTATAGCAGGGTCAGAGTCCTCTGAAGGCTGTCCCTGAGAGTCCCATGCATGAAACTGTGACAGTGAAGCTGAAGCTGGAATGGAAACTCTAGGAATTAAGAGATGCCAGTGATGTGACTGTCSTCTAGAAAAACTGCTGACTGTGGAGAGAGCCAGTCTAAAGGAGCCCATATGGGCTGCAACTGGCCAGGCCAGAGGGGCTGTGTTGCCCAAGCCCTTTGAGTCCACCTCTCACAGCCATGTGACCTACAAGCTGTACTCAGACTGGGTTTAGGTCTTGCTTTGGTCCTAATCCTTCTTTCAGTGCCCCTATTCCTCCCTTAGGCAGGTGGGGTGTGGCTGGAATCGGTGGGTCACTGGTGGTGTGTCCTGGAAGGATTTATCTTCCCTGCTGTCCCCGCCTGCCTTTCTTCTTCCTGATCACCATGAAGTGAGCTGCTTTCCTCCACTGCATCCTTCTGCCACGTGTGCTGCCTCACCTTGGGCCCACAGCAATGGAGTCGGCCATCTATGGACTGAGACCCCTGAAACCATGAGTCCCAAACCAGCTTTTCCTCCTCTAGGTTGTTCTTGCCAGGTCTTTTGGTCACAGTGATGCAAACCTGACTAACACATTCATGGTTATAGTATTGTCTCAGGAAAGTGGCTAAATGGGCAGGGACATTCCCAGTCCCCTTGCATCTAGCTGCGAACCAGGACTGATTGTCACCAAGAAAACGTCCATGGGTGTGAGGGGTCTCTACTCCACCCAAGACCCCACTTTCAAGAGGGTCTTCCCTGAAGATGACCAAAGTGGAAGACCTCCACCCTGAGTGCCTGCATGGGGGGGTCACCTGCTGTCCAGCAGGGTTCTCCTGGGACCCCTGCAGGAGTGAGGAATATGCAGGGATGACCTTCAAGCCCTTGAGCTCTGTGGAGTTATTACAACAGCTAGCATCACACCAGTGAGTGGAAGTCCTCAGCAGGGGCAACCCTCGTCCCTTAGAGCTGGGACACTAACCTGGTCTCTGTGTTCTGAACCAACATGCTATGATGTGTCCTCTAGAAAATCTCCAGGGCAGTGACCCGTACTTTTTCAGCTTATGGCCCCATCCCTTCTTTCAACGCCCAACCCTCCCCTGTGGCTGGAAAAGGCAGGTCACTGGGGACATGCCCTAATTTTAAAATTAGTTTAAATCTTGTTCACCTTTCTATCTCTCCCTTTAGCTACTGGGGCTGAAACTAGAAGGTCCAATTGAGATCTTTCATGAGCAAATCATTCACTCTAAACAATAATATGGGTATCAAGATGCAGCAGAAGCACAGATGTATCTACAAAAGCGCTTTGGGATGTGTTTGCAAAGCCTTGATTTCTGTGATTCTCCAGGCTGCTCTGAACTACAACCCCAGCCCAGCTCTGGCGCTTACAAAGAGCAATCGCCTTTAGCGCTGGCGATCACTTATTTTTTCTAAATGAGATTCGACACGTTCATTGTGAGATAGGCTGGTGGGTAAGCAGTTTTGCAGTCAGTTGTAGTATAAATTATTATTATATAAGTAAGTTGACAATGGTTGACTGTGCAGAATGAAAGTGTCCCAATTTCTGAGTGAAAATCCCAAAGGCTCTTCATTCAGTCGCTTTGGTTAAATGATAACAATTTGCCAGAAATAATCAGTTCACTGTTGCACACTTCTCTTCTGCATTGGCCCGTGGTTGAAACACAGCCCTTGTTTTAAAAGCTACTGAGTCTACTTACTGCACTGCAGTGCAGGAGAACGAGATGGAAAGCACTACTTTTATTTCCACCCTCMAGACCAGACATTCACACTTCCTGCTGATTATTTGCTACAAGATTCTTTTATGTTCCCACAATGCCCTATTTACTTTTCCACATCTTGTGGTCTGTTCTGACCCTGGTGAGGTACAGCTGAGGCCAGAAGTGTGTTCTTTGATTCTCTGTCTCCTAAAGTTACTTCCTCCTGGATGTATTAGTTCTCAGGAGGAATCATGATCCGTGCTGACGTCTCTCTCAACTTGTGAGGGGGTTTTTAGGTCACAGAGCTCCCCATATCACAGTGGCATAAGAAGAGGCGGAGCCCATGGTCGCCCACAGCAGCCCAGCTGTGAGGCCGGGTGGAAGCATCGCCAATTGCATGGGTGCTGGGCAGAGAGGGCTTTCCTGTCTATCACCACGCATCCGTTTCCTCTTTCCAGGAACTGGAGGGTGCTTGTTGCTGCTGCCAAGTAGGCTGATTTTAAAATGTGTCACTGTCTCAGATGCAAATCAGAAAGAGGGGAGCTCTTGGCAGCCCTGCCCCATGACGTCATTTCCTGAGGCAGTAAGGAAGCCTCAGGAGGGATAACCAGGTGAGGGTGTTTTTAGGGAGTCCTGCATCACCTCCTTGTAGTTCTGGCTAAACCAAGAGTGGGAGTGAAATGATACGGACCTCCCTGGGGGCCTCACCACACTGCCAGCAGGTGCTGGGACTTCAGGGGGTACAGCATTTCAACTGCCTGGACCCACCCAAGAGCAGAGAGGACACCCTGCCCCAGGGAAGGCTGAGGAGGACAAGAGTGCCATCAGCACCAGGCCTGGGGACCTAGGGATATGGGGACTGAGGTGGAAGGAAGAGCCATGGTCACGAGGCCTAAGGACAGATGCACTGGGGGCCTCAGGCAGGGCCTGGCCGTGGTGGCCTCTTCCTCTGGGTTCCTGGTGGCAGCTTGGGCCTGTAAGCAGTGTTCTKCTGGGTGTGCCTTTGGGACTCCTGGCCAGAGGGCTGCCTGCCTGCTCCACCAGGGGCAGAGCTCAGGCCAGGGGCAGCCCCAGCAGTGCTGAGGCCCTGAGGCTTGGGATGGGAGTTCTGTGCATTTCATAGGTAACATGGAAACAATTAAAAATCTCTGCCTAGCATGTGTGAGTCCCTGAGACCCTGGGTTCTGTCCCCAGCACTGGGTGGGGAGTTTGGGGAGAACAAAACCAAGGAAACCTCTTTTGAGTTGCCCTGCTTCCCGAGCTGAACACAGGGGCTCCTCCTGGAGAGAAGATGAGCACGGATGCTGAGCATGCCCGCTTCTGGCCACACTTGAAGTTGGCTGTGTATTTGCCTCTTACAAGTGAGAGCCCTGGATCATCATCTTGGTTTTGAATCTAATTGTGCTTAAGTTCTATTTTCTCTGTCTTGTTTTTTTTTTTTAATTTGTTTGTTTTATTTTTATTTGTTATTATTGTTAATGTTTTTGGAGTCAGGATTGAACGCAGGAGCACCTAGCCACTGAGCCACATCCCCAGCCCTTTTTATTTTTTGAGACAGGATCTTGCTGAGTTGCTGAGGTTGGTTTTGAACTCCTGATCCTCCTGCCTCAGCCTCCTGAGCCACTGGGATTATAGGCATGTTGACTGACAYCCAACCTGTCTTGTTCCTTTTATAACCAGCTCAATCCCCTGATTTGCATAGCTGCTGTGCCAATACCATACCAGGAAGGCCTCCTAACCCACTAAACTAAAAATCAAGAATGCCCACTTCCTGTCTTTTAAAGTACATATCGCTTCCCATATCAGACTCGGGGCTACGAAATCATCCAGAGAGTCTAAGGCAGTTAACTGCTCTCCAAAAACAGTAAAATGGCCTTGGTTTCACCTTGCAGGAGCCTCTGTGCTTGCAAACAGGGCCAAATGCATTCCTCCTTCTCAGAATTTTGAATTCAAAGGAAGCCTGAAGTTCAGATACAAGTGACCCTGCCATGTCCCATGGACTTTCCTCTTCCACTGGTTGGCCAGACAAGCAGCCTTGCTTTCACATCATCCCAGAAAATGAAAGCCAAATCTCAGGGCAACTTTGAATTTCTGAGATAAGTAGTCATGGCCATTCCCAAGTCAAAGTTACCCTGGCTTCCCGGACAAAGGTGAGAGCATTTTCACTGGGAATTCCTTTGGCTTCAGTTTCATGGCCAGTCATGGAAACCATGCCCAAACAAGGACTACCCACAGCCCCCAGCATGAGGTGCTGTGTCTGTAGAAAGATGGCAGCGGTAGCCTCCAGGACCTGAAGCAAGAGAGAAGAGGAATAGCGAGAGACCTTCTTCCTCCAAAAGGACTGAGAGAGAATGGAAGAAATATTCATCACAGTCGTGTCAGGGGTAGCTGGGARAGAAAAAGAATCAAACCATGTTAAAACACAGGCTGGAAGGTAGTA